AATGGTAGTGCCGTGAGTACCCAATGCAATGCGATTAAAATTTAAATTTTACAATTGAATCGAAAAGTTGAATAATAATTTGTTCTCCGTAATATTTATTGATTGAAATAACGTTTAAAACAAAAAAATTATAATTGTTTCAGATTATTATTTAAAATGTACAACGAATTTCAAATAAAAACCGGTTTAAAAAAACAAGAAGAAACACCGTTGGGAGTTAATCAATGGACGGAAGATTACAAATTGTTGGAATGGGGTCCAAGAGGATTATTTCCAGAATATTTAGAAATGAGTGAGTGATTTCTCTCTCATTTTTTCCCAAAGAAAAACACTGGGATCATTTTATATATTAACCGTATTATTATTTTACAGTAATCCAATATGGATTTGTAACGATTTTTGTCGCCGCCTTTCCTCTCGCACCTTTATTCGCTCTTTTGAATAATATTTTAGAAATGCGTTTGGACGGTCAAAAGTTTTTGAAATACTACAGGAGGCCGGTGCCGAGAAGAGTTAAAAATATTGGAGTTTGGTATACGATTCTGGATGTCCTTAATAGAATATCCGTAATAACGAACGTGAGTCTTCGGATGGATTTGCATTTACGCATTTTTTATTACTTTGACCTTTGAATTTTTTTTGCATTTATGAATTTGGAATTGTGTTACTACTATTATTATGGTCACTCTTAAACACGACAAGGCTCTTATTTGTCGGGGTTGTTAAGCATTTATCCCAGGTCTCTACCCGATTCCTTAGGGACAAATACTCGAATATCGGTGGTGCTATTTATAATATTTTCCGAAGAATGTGGGCCGTCCCACATAGTGCGATTTCCTGGATGGTTTCTTCTTTTAGGTTCTTCATAATCTTCTTTAAATTTCCTTTTATTGAATGTGGCATGGCTCCCAATGCTCCCACGATGACCGGAATCGTTTCAGTTTTTGTTCCCCACATCCTGGTTATTTCAATTTCCAAATTTCTGTATTTCAGCCTTTTGTCTGCTTCTTTGGCTGTGGTGTTTTTTTCTGCCGGCACGGATACCTCAATTAACTTACACCATTTTTCCCCATTATGCCTGAGTATGATATCCGGTTTGTTAGCTGGCACAGTTCTATCAGTGTGGATTTGTTGATCATATAGAACTGTGCATGGACCTACTGTCGTAACCGGGCTTGGAATGTGGTTGTACCACTCCTTGGGTAATCCATCCATTCCATATTCTCGGCATATACTCCAATGGAGATATTGACATATTTTATTGTGCCTTTCTAAATATTCATGTTTTGCCAGTATCGGACAACCGGAAATTAAATGATCGATGGTTCCGAT